CACGCCCGCGCCCCCACGCTCACCCCCTGAGAGTCCTTGACGAAGTAGCTTCCGCTGGAGCCCTGGTAGATGCGCTCGGGATAGATGCAGCACTCGATGGCCACCTCGGCCTGCCGCACCACCACCTCGAACTCGGGGTCCTCCGGGAAGTCGTTCCGCTCGCGGTGGGTCTGAACAGAGTGCGCCGCCGCGGCCGCCTGAGCGGCCAGGGCCTGGGCCTGCGCAGCCACCGTGTGGTTCTGGCCCTGCGCCGCCGCGCCCCGGGCCCGGTCCAGCAGAGGCTGCCGCTCCCGGTCGTGGCCGGGCGAGCACGGAGGAGACGGGCCGGAGCCGGCCGCCGCCACGCGAACCGCGCCCCCGGGTACCTGCGGAAAGTGAGCTCCCGAGCCCGACGGGAACGTGTACTCTGGGGGTTGGGCCCGCTCGGGGGACACTAGCGGGCTCGTCTCGTCCATCCCTCAGGCCGCCGGCTCGGGGACCCGGCGCGCTCCCCACCAGCGAGCTCGCGGCCGCGACCAATCCGCGGCACTCCCCACCTCCCGCCTGGCCAACCAGGGCGCGGTGCCGCCGTAGCCCCGCCCCCAGCCTGCCCTGTTTACTTGGCGACGCGTAGGCACGGCCCCTCGCGCTCAAACAGAGGCCAATCAGAACCTGCGCCTACGCAATCACGGCCTCCACAGCTTTCGCGTCACCTTCTGTGAAGACTGCGCATGTTCCACGAGACAAACTCGGGTCAGGCACGCCTTCTGCCCTTAGCCCCGCCCCAACTTCCAATTGGCAGCCAGGTTGTCGGATGCTTTCCTGATAGCTCCTTTCTTAGTCACTTGCTAATTGAGTGCCAACGATGAACTGTAAAACTGCAAAATGCCATTTTGTGTCAATAAGCACACAGAATTGAGAAGACAACAATGAAGGTGCCCCACTCACCCCCTGCTATCTCATAACTTTAAAATCCCAGCCCTCTTGCAATTTACGAAGTGTCTGAGCCAATGATTCAACGCTTTATCTGATCATTGAGGAAAGCTTTGGTTCCTTGAAACTAAAAAGCTCATGACTTTATTCACATCAATGTCTAGACACAGTTGGTGCTCGTTTTCATTAGTAAAAGGAAAAAGAAAATAATTCCTCTGTTCTCACTCTAGATAAACACCATCAGGATACAGCCACAGATAAATAGTTTATCGACTTGAAATTAGGTTGGCGAGTAAGTGAAAACTGTATCCAGAGCCTGTACTGACAGCCAGCTCCTAAAGGAAGAAACTGGATCACTGACTGGAGAAGAAAGAAAGGAAAGAAACACCTTAGTCGTCACGCATTGTCAAAAGAAAGAGGAAGAAGGCTAAAGCTTAATTAGGACAGCCTGCTTGGCTGGGGGGGGGGCAGCAGAGGGCATATGAAGGATAGATAACAAGAGCCTTGGAGGAAAGAGCTTGGGAGGAGGGCAGGGGTGTGTGGTGGAGCAAACTCCACATCAAACGCTTCTGTTGTAGAAAATTATTTTAAGGTGTGTTACTTTTGTTTATGCTGCAGTTGTTTAGCCCTGTGAAGCTGTGATTCTTTGCCTATCTAAAACATGTGATGATCTAATAAAGAACTGAATGGCCGATAGTGAGGCAGGAGCAAGGGAAGGTGGGGCTGGCAGGCAGAGAGTATAAATGGAAGGAGACACAAGGAAAAAGAGGAGCAAAGGAACAGCAAGAGAACCTGAGAGGAGGATGCTAGGGGCCAGCCACCCAGCCAGCAAGCCACGGAGTAAGAAGGAAAGTAAGATACACAGAAGTAAGAAAGATAAAAGCCCAGAGGGAAAAGGTAGACGGTTAATTTTAGAAAAGAAAAGCTGGCCGGGCGGTGGTGGCGCACGCCTTTAATCCCAGCACTCGGGAGGCAGAGGCAGGCGGATCTCTGTGAGTTAGAGGCCAGCCTGGTCTAAAAGAGCTAGTTCCAGGACAGGAACCAAAGACAGCTATGGAGAGATGGCTCAGCGGTTAAGAGCATCGCCTGCTCTTCCAAAGGTCCTGAGTTCAATTCCCAGCCAACCATATGGTGGCTCACAACCATCTGTAATGAGGTTTGGTGCCCTCTTCTGGTCTTCAGGCATACACGCAGAAAGAATATTGTATACACAATAAGTAAATAAATAAATATTTTTTTAAAAAAAGCTACAGAGAAACCCTGTCTCGAAAATCAAAAGAGAAAAAGAAAAAGAAAAGAAAAGAAAAGCTGGCTAGAAACAAACAAAGCTAAGGCCACGCACCCATAACTAAAAATAAGCCTCCATGTGTTATTTATTTGGGATCTCACACAACAGTCCACATCAAATCCACTCCGAACCCAGACACTGAGTGGAGAATGGATGCTGCAGGGATGGATCAAGAGTTAAGAGCACTTGCCGCTCTTGAAGAGGAATGGAATCAGTTCCCAGCACTCACATCACCTATAACCCCAGCTCCAGGGATCTGACACACATATGCACACACACGCACACATGATAATAATAGCAATAATTAATCTAATAAAGTTAAAGTGTAGAATTACTACTTAGAAACATGGGCCTGGATATCAGGAACATTTGAGCTTAAACTCTGTTCTCTAAACAATTAGAAATTTTTAAGAAGGTAGTTTTTAAAACTCCTCATCTATAAAATGGGAATAAATGCCCTTACCTCACTTGATTTAAGAAAAGACTCTGTAAGTGACATGTCTAACGTTGTACTCAGGACCTAAATAGCCCTCCACAGATGTTCCCCTTTCGTTGCTGCTGGGATTATTGTTAGCATAATTTTTGTTTTTCTTCTCAAAGCCACCAGCAGGTAGAACAAAGAGTTTTCACAGAAAATGACCAACCACATAATCCCCAATATTTTATGATCATGCAGTAATATTTTATATAATTTTGTGTGTATGTATTGTGTATGTCACGTGTGTGTATGTGTGGAGGTCAGAGGACAGTAACTAGTTCTCACCTTCTATTATGTGAGTTCCAGGTTTCAAACTCAGGTTGTCAGACTTGGTGGCAAGTATCTACCCGCTGAACCATCTCACCTTGCACCCATAATCCTACTTTCTTGAGTCAAATTATTGCTCCAACTCACCAGAAGTACTGAATTGAAAGAACTATTGTTTGGTTCTATGTATGGGAATATCTTGAGCTTATTTTTTTTCAAATGAATCCCTCTAGGCCTGAGAGAATAGCTCAGTAGTAGATTGTTCGATTACCATATAGAAGACCCCATATCCAACCCTCAGCACAACAACAACAACAAAAAAAAAAACAAAGAACAAGACTGAGCAAAGATCTACATAGAGTTCCATTGGCCCTTCAGTCATAACCAATACAGTGACATCTGCTTCCTGTGTCTTCAGAACCATGGAAATGATGTGTGGTATCCTCCATCTCATTGAGCTTGTGGACTTAAAATTACGGGCAAGAAAAATTCTCTGTGGTATTCTGAGTTTTCTCTGTAGAAGTCTTCTGCGGCTTTATTTATTATCTCCCTCGTAGATCTTGATTACCCTTTTACTTAAGCACGTCAGAGCCTGTCCTAATACACGTGGAGAGCTAGCACCTACCCAGTGGTAAAAGTGTGTACTGGGTATTGCTTTAGATGTTTTACATGGATGGACTCATTTAACTGCCATTATAACTCCCATGATGTTAGATGCTGCGTCCTAAGGAGACAAAGGTTTGCCTGTACCTAACAAGCCATCTTGCTGATCAAAGAAACTACATTGTTGTAAGATTCCTGTAATTTACAGCCCTTCCAGGATTTGGCCTCATACTATGTAAGATTTTATCTAATTTCTTCATGTTTTCAAACATAAATTCTAACAACTTCCCTTTCCTTTCACTCCTTTTCTCAGTGATTGCAGTTTAATCTACAACTGTAGCTCAGGTTAGCTTATATTACCAAGTGAGTTAGTGCCATATGGAATCTATTGGTCTAACCTCAGTTTACAGGCTAGAGAACTTAATAAGTGACTCAAAAACATACACTATTAGTAGCAGAGATAGAATTTGAATGCAGAATCCAAATCTTTTGAACATGAAACCCCAATCTTTTTTAAAATATTCTTTTTTAATTATTTTATTTTTATGTGCATTGGTGTTTTGCCTGCATGTATGTCTGTATGAGGGTTTAGGATCCCTTAAAACTGGAGTTACAGTTGTGAGCTGTCATGTGGGTGGTGGGAACCCAGGTCCTCTGGAAGAGCAGCCAGTGCTCTTAACCACTGGGCCATTTCCCCAGTCCAGACTCCAAATCTTTTAAAAATATCTTCCAACAACCACCCCCTTTTCATTGTGTTCTTATATGAGTCCTAGCATTATTATTATCATCATTATCATTTTTTCTAACCTGTGGATGAAGAAATCCCAATCCAAAAAGCAATCTGAAGCAATTTGCTTTGTCTTGTAATATGTAATTAGTCCCACTACAGCAGCTGTCCCAAGCTCGACAGAACTTGACACCATGCTGCACGCACACAGTTCAGTAAACAAACATGCCTTCACAGATATTTGGGCACAGTATCTGGGAATACTTGCTCCAATAATGGCAATATATTTAAATACAAAGGATATGGGACGTAAGTCCTTGTACATGCAGAAGTGCAGCGCCTTGCCAGTATAAAGCTGAGCTTCTAAAGCTGGATGTAGGTTCTCTCTTTATACTTAGCGGTGGAGCTGTTTATGAATATAAAGATCAGAACCTCTTGAGCTGGTGGCCACTTTGGACACACGTTCGACCTTATTTGGGATTAAAGATTCTGCCTGGAAGTCTCTGGAGAGATGAAACTTGGGTCCTCCTTTTCTCTTGGTCTTATCATGACGGGACAGAAGGCTCAGCCCCACCCCTCTTTCAGATTTTTGGCCCAGACTCCCAAAACACTCGGCCCCTCACAAAGATGGCACGGAAGAAGACTGAACCAATGGGGAATGGCGTTGCTCGTGGTTGCCTAGGTAACAGCCAATGAACAGCGGGAATTGTGCCCAGTGCGGCCGTCAGGGATGGCGGTGTCCAGTGGGACCGAGGCGAGTGGTGGTGGCGGAGGGGAAGGTGTCGGTGGCCAGCCGAGAGGAGCAAAGATCCTGACCGCTGAAGCCCCGCGTCGCATCGGATTGTGACGGCGTCCCCAAGAGGCCAAGCTCAGGTTGGCTCGCGGGGCGGGTGGGAGGAGGACGCGGGGGTGTGGGCCACAAAGTGAGGACTGAGGCTTTAAACATGTGACCCGGGCTGGGAAGCGCGCCTCTGTCCGGGCTGTACTGACCAGAAGGTGGCTGCGCGTGGGGTCCCAAACCTGGGTTTGGGGTTTCGATCCTGAGATTGTAGCCCGGGAGAACACAGGGCACCGATTATGGAGAGGGGTGTGCCGGGCTGTTTCTGGAGGGAATGTCCCAGACCTGTGAGAGCTGAAGAGCCTGTGGGGTGGGAACCGACCCCAAAAAGTATGGAACCGGACTGAAATGGAAAAAAAAAAAAAAAAAAAAAGAAAAAAAAGAAAATGCAGCGGGAGACTGGGTTGCCTTGTGAAGGTCCAGGGCTTTGTTTGATCTGGGGCGCGTCTGTGCCACAGGTAGGAAAACGACCCACGTACAGAGGCCTGGGGAATGGGTTGTTTCATTTACTTGCTGGATGTTATCTCAGCAATCCAGCATCCACGAACTGCTTAGGAACCAAACAAAATAACTTTGCTGAATTAGAGCCCGGCCCAGGCATCCTCCTTTCCCTTGACACAGAATAGTGTTCTGACACTATTAGTCCCGAGAGCCCATCACTCCCCATCATCTTTTTAAAAACCTTTTTGGTACCAGTGTACTCTTCTCACTTTCTTGACTCTAACTATTCCACATTCTTTCTGCGTAAGACCTGTTTACATTAACAATGCCATTGCTTACTTCCCAGATTGAAGGGAAATTAGAATTATAAATTTAAAAAACCTAATTATTTCTTTTCCATTTAAATCAGTATTCCTAATTTCCTAATCTTTGTATATCACAGCTTCCTTTCTTCTTAAGGCTCTAAAAACCCATGGTTGCTTTCTTTATAATAACTAAAAGAATTACTGGGGGCTGCAGAGATGGCTCAGCAGTTAAGAGCACTGGCTGTTCTTCCAAAAGACCCAGGTTCAAATCCCAGCACCCACATGGCAGCTCACAACTGTCTGTAACTCCAGTTCCAGGGGATCTGATACCTTCACACCAATGCACATAAAATAAAGTTAAAATAATAATAATAATAAAGAATTGCTGTTAGTTTGTTTTAAAACTTTTTTTTAGACAGGGTTTCTCTGTCTAGCTTTGGAGCCTGTCCTGCCTGACACAAGCTCTGTAGACCAGGCTGGCCTTAAAACTCAGAGATTCACCTGCCTATGTCTCTCTCAGTGCTGGGACTAGAGGCATGTGCCACCACTGCCCAGCTGTTTTAAAACTTAGCCAGGCGGTGGTGGTGTACGCCTTTAATCCCAGCACTTGGGAGGCAGAGGCAGGCGGATCTCTGTGAGTTAGAGGCCAGCCTGGTCTACAAGAGCTAGTTCCATGACAGGCTCTAAAACTACAGTGAAACCCTGTCTTGAAAAAAAAAAAAAAAACTTCTTAATTTAAGCTGGACTTGGTGGAGCCTGCCAGCACTCAGGAGGCAAAGGCTGGTAGCTATCTCTTGAGTTCAAGGCCAGCCTGGTCTACGTAAGGAGTTCCAGGTCAGCCTTGACTACTTAGAGAGATCCTCTTTCAAAAAACAAACAAGCAAACAAAACTTCTTAATTTAGACAAAAGTGAATACATAAATGTTCTTTAGTAAGCTTGGTTTTTTTTTT